AAAATAATGTTTACTACTAAGTCTCCAAATAAATGCCGCAGGCACTTTCTAAAACACACCAATTCTTTGCTACAGAATTTCACCAAACTTTACTATAGAATTACCTATGCCACTCACTGTTTTCTTAAGGGTTGTTAAATTGTTGCCCATAGGCCAAATCTGGACCATGACCTGTTTTTGTAAATAAGCACACATACTCATTTGCTTACATAATATCTACCGCTGCTGCTTTTTTGATGCATCCCAAACAGGGGGCCATTTATTGCAACAGAGGGACCAAATGGCTTCAAAACCATGAAATACTTATGATCTGACTTTCACCTTTCCTATGGTCAGGAATGGTGATATAGAGCAGTAACCACAGCCCTCAAGAGGCTGAGGCAGGAGAACAGAGAGTTCAAATGTGGGCTACCTCAAGATTCTGTCTAAAAATAAACAAACAAACAAACAAACAGAAATAAATAAAATCTTCTGACTCTCATTCTAAAAATTCTTTCAATGAATGTTAATTGGTAAACATTCCATCTTATGAATGTCCTCAGCACATAACCACAAGCGTGCTGATCTCGTGTGAGATCTTGATCTGGAAGAGCAGATATTTGTCTGTTGCCATCAGTGTGGACATCAATCATCCCTGATCCTCGGCCAATGAATTGTCTCCTTAGGCGGCCTCTTCCCCAAGAGAGGACAAGCGACCCGCTGACATGGCCAGCAGGACTGGGGTCAAAACCTCGCTCTGCTGTTCCCCAGCTCAGCCCCTGGTGCATGGCTGCTGCAAAATGTAGGAGTTAGTCACTGCTTCTTGGAGGAAACGGCCTGGCCAGAGTCTCAAATGATAAAGAGGGATTTGTGCTGCTGGAGAATCAGCGGAGGAAGCAACAAGAGTCTCATTAAAGCCGACATCTTACTCAGCTGATGGGGAAGTAGCTTAGCGCCTCTTGGAGTTCCAAAGGCTCTAATGTGTGCATGGTACAACCCAACAGCTTCTAACCTGTTTTTGTTTTTTGTTTGGGGTCTAACTCTGTAGCCCTGACAGGCCTAAAACTAACTGTGAAGAGCAGATCAGAATGGACTCATACACACAGAGGTCTTACTGCCTCTGCCTCCCAAATGTCAAGATTCAAAGCATGCACCACCATACATGGCTCCTTCCATACTGTTTCTCCTTTTATTATTATTATCTTTTCCTTCTAACCTTTTGAGAGGGAACTCTTATATATATATATATTTAGGTCACTTTATTATTACTGAGTTCACTCGCAAATATTTTAAAAAGATGCCATCTATGACAGGTACTCAAGCGTAGTGCTGGTCACAATATAGGAGACCAAGTGTTTGGGGCAAAGAGAATTTGGGCAACAAAGAATTTGGACAAAGAGCCATGCCAGGGCTGCGTGGAGGTCACTGGGAGGTGAGCGAACTGCCTGCAGTCAGCTTGGTAGCGGGTTAGGCAGCATGCTTAGGCAGCAGTCACTTCCAAGTGGCTAAACATCCAGCACAATAGGCTCTGAAAAACGGAGAGTGATGTGAGTTGACCTGGCCATGCAGCTTCAGCGATACTGATTCCGAAGGGATTGCCAGCACTCCCACAATGTTGTCTGCCACGGCTAATCCAGTTCATTCGTGCATTCAACAAATTTTAGTTGAGTACCAACTGTGTACCAACACTTTACTCCAGGAGCACAGTGTGTAAAGAAGTGACACAAAAGAAAAACAACAACTTGTCCTTGTGTCTAATGTGATACCATTATTCTAAGGGAAGTAAACTGAGCGTTAACACTCCATAGAGGAGCTTCTTGAACTGAGCAGTCCACCAGGGGACACTTTGCAAAAGAACTTGAACCAAATCTGAGGCTTTCATCCTCTTGAAAACTAGATCTCCCACCCCATCCCACCCCCATCTTATTGTCTGTGGTAGTGAGACAGCCTGATGCTCCTTAAATCATTCTTGTTTCCAAGCCAATGGATCGTAAATCCTCCAGGAATATTTGTACCAGCCAAAGAATCTTCACCAAATTCTAATCACTTCTGGAATTCTCTTTCTTTCTTTCTTTCTTTCTTTCTTTCTTTCTTTCTTTCTTTCTTTTCAGTGCTACAATTCGAATTCAGAACTTAACAAATTTTAAGTGGGAGCACAATGACTAAGTAAGCTTCTGAAATGAATTTAGGTGCAAAAATGCTCACTGTCTTTTCATCTAACCCATCTACAAAACGAGTCAAGTTGATTGTACAACTATCAGTGGGTAGATAGGTAAATCATGACTTTTACCTGTGGTTAAACACAAAGCAGCCATTGGGAAGATATGCTCAAAGAGCATGTAATAATATAGGAAGAGACATATGATGAAGTCTCGGGAAGACCCCGCAGATGGGTCAGTAGGTAAACATGCTTGTAGCATAAGCCTGACACCCTGAATTTGGATCCTGTAAACCCACATGAAAAGCCAGTGCAGAAGTGTCTGTAATTCAGAACTCCTACCTTAAAATGAGGTAGGGACAGAATAGCTCACAAGTTCTTGGCCCAGCTAGCCTGGAGTATGCATTGCAAGAAATACACACACATACACACACACACACACACACACACACACACACACAATTACTTTTTGAAAGTCTCAAATTGTTAATCAGGCAGAATATATGCTCAATAGAAGAAGCATATGTGAAATAGTGTTAACACCTATAAGGAATGACGGATATGTTTTGATACATGAATAACATACTTACATATTAAAAGGACATTTATTCTTTTAATTTCCAGTTTTTGCTTTAGCAAAGATCCATTACCTTGTGTGACTAAAACAAGAGTAGTGTTAATCCTATGGCTTTTAAAAAGCCAAGAACAAGTATGAAAAGCCTATCAGGTGAGAGCCTGAGATAAAATCCAAAGGACCAAGGTATCAGCTCTGAGTCTTCGAAGTGCTGTGTGGCTTGGCAACTTACTGAACACGGTTATTTGCTCCAGTTTCCCATGTGCGGAATGGAGGGGACTGCAGGCCCTACCTGACCGGTGGTGAGGATTAGTACCTACATCATGTGAGTGTTTGGCACAGAGTCTAACATCTGGGAAGTGCTCAAAACAACAGACAGGAAGTGCTCAGGACACTCACAGGAAGAGTGTGGGTGGGAAGGCCCACAAATATCCCATCCCAGTGACTTAGAGATAAGTAACTCAGAGCTGTGTTTTCAGGAAACAAATTTGTCTCAGACAAAAATCAATCCCCAAACTTTTTACTAATACCTTAGAAGTTCCTCTGAAGATGATGGACATCCTGTACAAATTTGTTTTATGGGCAATTACTTCCTCATCTGTTTTAAAGGACACTGGTCATATTTCGTTGGACAAAGTGTCTTTGGAGTTAAAAAAAATCTAAAAATAATGTTCATAGAATTTTCAGAAAACATTTACCATTTTTCTATATGAAATTTTAAAAAGAATACTGCTTATAGCCAGGCTGTGGTGGTACATGCCTTTAATCCCAGCACTCTGAGTCAGGAGGGCCTTTGTCAGTTCCAGGCCAGTCTCAAAAGTTAAAATAAAATAAATGTTTCTGTAATGCTGATAGTAGTAAATTTGAAGATAAGAATAGATGTTTATACAACCATATTTTCTTCTCAAATATTTATTTCTAAACAAGCAAAATCAAATGCTTATCTTTTATCTCCTACACCCAATGTCTTTCTTTCTGTACAGGTGTATAAAATAACAGGCGCTTGATGAGTATTTATTGGACAAACACAAACTTGCCAATGCTTACCGTTTTAAATGAATGAGAATTCCATTAACATTGCATGCTTTCTAAATCTAGACCAATAAGAAGATCCTCTAGGTGGTGGTTAAGAAAGGGCAGGCTGGAATTTGCATTTCTGGCCCTTCCTTTCCTAGAAATGACGTGTTAGTTGAGAAGAGATTCTGTCTTAGGTTCCCATCGGCCTTTTGTTGTTTTTTAATCTAACTTCGTATCTAAATTGGCTTGATCTTCTGACCCGAGGAATGCTCCGCTCCAAACAGCACAGCCAGACTTTGGCAGCCTTCCCCTAGCCAAGGTCCCTGCTTTTTATCTACGTGGAGTATCTACCTGCCTGTTTTAAGGCTGGGGGCCTGGAACTGAAGGCGTTCGTTGGGAATTAGCCGGGCTTCCGGCCAGGCACCAGGCGTATCACCTTCCTTCCCTTACTTTCTCAGCCTCGGTTTCTTTGACTGGACACTGGGCACATCAAGGACAGCTCACACCTTTACAGCGGAGCCAAACTAGAGTACAGACACTAAAAGGGGCACAGCAGGCTGCGCAGCAGGCTGCCCACCCACCCCCTCTGGAGTCACTGTTGGAGGTAGCACAGTCCCTGAACTCTCCGTTATCTCTTTGATGCTTTCCTGTCTTTCCTCCCACAGCAGAAAGGCAAAATTCTAAACTCGAAGTTTTCATCTAGAACAGATGAGCTCTCGGTTGGTTTTGCCTGGCTCGCCTTTTAAAGGCTGAAGGACTTAGAAAGGTAGATCAATTGGCCGTGAGCTCAGTTTCTTTGGGGTGGGGGGGTGGGGTCTAAGAACCCTATTCTACAAAGTCCAGGTTGGATTCTGCCCACCTCCCTCCTCAATCACACAAAGACTGATCAGAAGAACTTCAGAAAGTTCCAGAGATATCACTCACAAAATCCCTGAACCCACAGCTGAAAGGTGAGTTCTGAAGACTAAGCAAAGGCGCACGCACGGTTGGAGAGGGAAGCGCCCTGGCCAGCAGTAGCTCCCTCCCAATCTGAGTTCCCTAGCTCCCCCGACCCGCATCCGAGGGCACACAAGGGACGGTGACGGCGGGGGGGGGGGGCTGTCCCACTGGTGCTGCCCAACTCTGGGGAGCCGAGCCTAAAGCCCGGTCCCCACCGGGCACCCTAAGCCCGCCTCACTCTGCGCTCCTCCCCACCGTGCACCCTGCCCTTCGACGGTCCTCCGTGAGCTGGAGCGGAGCCGGGAGCCGCGCTCCGCAGGTGAAAACGCTAACCTGTGGAAGTAATGTATGCAGAAGAGACCCAGCAGCACGTTCCCCGGCGGTCCGAAGAGGGAGCGGGGCTGCCAAGCCAGCATCCCTACCGACACCACGAAGGCAGGCAGCTCCTGCAGGAACCAGGCGACGCGCGCGGGCAGGAAGGGAACGGTGTTCCTGAGGTGTTTCCCGTAACTGGAGGGTTCCTGTATGAACAGGGTCAGGATGCCCATGGTGGCCAAAGTAACGCTACCTGCCAGCACCGGGACCTGATGGCACATCCGCATCTTGGCTGTGTTCACAGCTGGTGGCTGCCGCCCGCGTGGAGGAGAGCCTGGCCCCTTTATGGAACACCAGACGCCACCCCGCGTCCGCCCCTCGGACCTGGGTTCCCTCCCCACGCCGGGCCCCCTCCTGCGTGCCTCCCACCTTGGCTCAGCCCGCCCCGGCTCTGCTTAGCAGCAATGCCCATTTCACCCATTTCTAGCTCTTTGGGTTGCAGCTGGGGCACGGGACCGAAGCTTTTGTGAAGCCAAAAAGTGTTTTTCGGGGCCCTCCTCCACCTGCGCTCCGCTGTCCGCATCGATTTCGGCTCCTCTCCACCCTTGGTGGCCCTAGGGTGACTTGCACCCACCAACTTCAGTGCTGCAACTTCTGGGACCAAGCAAGGACCAAGACCAAAGCACTGTTACTTCTCTATCCCTTACGCACGCTCTTGGTGCCGTCTGTCACCTGGCAATGCCCACCGCGGATCGCCCTGGCTAGGACTTCCCACCTGTCCTAGTGTCGACGCCCCTTCCCCCCCCGTCCCCCCCCCCCCCCTCAGTTTTCACCCAACCCCAGGTCCTTTCTCTGATCCCGGGAATGCCATTCAGGTGCCTGGAAACCCTTCCGTTCCCTCTGTGCTGAAACCTCCTCTCCTTTGTCACTCGGTGTCAGTGCCAGCTCTGCCTCACCATGACCCTCCCTCCACCCTTCTGGCAGGTGCCAGCCTTAACGGTAAATGCCCTAATTCCTGCGTGGTCAGAAGCTCCAGTTAACCCTGCAGCAGGGGTCCTGAGAATGCGCACTACACCCCGCCCTCGCTCCGCCCCCAGGTTCCTCCGAAGCTGCCTCAAACTCAGCTTCAAGTTTCCCGCCTCTCCAGAGAAACACCTTTTCCCAGTTCCGAAGCTCTTGAGCGGTGATGATGACGCTCTCTGAACTACCCAGCCTTTCCCCAACCTCCAGACACCCCATCCCACTTCTATTCTTCTCCCTCTCTCTTCCTCATTCCTTCCCTCTCCTTTTTTTCTCCCTCTCCTTTTTTTCTCCCTCTCCTTCTTCCACTCCCCTTCCTCTCCCTCTTCTCTCTCTCTCTCTCTCTCTCTCTCTCTCTCTCTCTCTCCCTCTTTCTCTCTCTCTCTCTCTCCTGCACCGAGACTTTCTTAGTTGCTTTCTCTTTCCCTCTCTGGTCCTTTCTCCCCCTCCTCTGCCCTGTTTTGGCCTGGCCTTCTCAATAGCTTCTTCCCACCTGCTGTTTCCTTCAGTCTTCCTTCTCTTGTGTTACCTTCTTTAATTCCTTAAAGACCTGTTTTCCCCTCTGGTCCCTGCCTGGGGCACCACTCAACAGCCTTTCTCCTTTTCTCTCTCCAATTATTAGGAGCTTTCTCGCCCCTTAATCCAGTTTACCTATTGTAGGATCAGCCCGCCCACCCCAGCCAGTCTGCTCCAGGTTGGAGAAGTTTCCTCTCCACCGAGATAACTTGACAGATGGAGATTCGGAGATTTCGTTAGTGACGCAGGGCGTCCTCTTCTTGGTAACCAAGTAGTAATCATCACCCTGCTGTGTTAAAAATAAAGTAACAAGCATGCCTGTCTGAAGCTGATCATCACGCAGGAAACACCCAAATTATCCGGGGCACTTTCAACGGAATAACCAGGTAGGTGTTGATATCTCAGTAGCTTCCTGAACATCGGCTTTCTGTGTGTTCAGACCTAACTTCTCAGTTCCTACCTGTTCCTTAAAGACGCTCAGATTTGGACTGACAGCAGAAACCCCAAATGGCAGAAACTGTACTCTCTCCCTGCTAGAAAACTCCACTTAGATGCCTCTCAAAGACTTCAAATTCAGCCCATTTATCTTCTCTGCCCAAATTCTCCCTCTGGGTTTTGGTTAGCACTTCCTCTCTACCTTCAGTCTCCTTAGAAGGCTTACCGAGTAAGGGGGCTATGGATGTCATGATCTTACAACTGGAACATTAGTTGTGCGCATTCCAAACCAAACCACGGGAATAATTTTGAAAGAATGAAATGTCTCCATCTCGATTTCTTATCCTCCTTTTGCATAGCTCTGCCAAATCTGAATGTTCACTATCCTTTTTGTCCCCGATCCTATAGAAACTTTTTTTTTTTGCCAATTAACAACCCATGCTTAAAGTAAATTGTATGATTAAAAAAACATTCATCTTCAACCTGGGTATCTGTAAGAGTGGCTGATCCAGGCTGATCTTAGCTGATTGTGACTTTGTTGGTGGAGCATCTCAAAGCACAGCTTTAGGTAGAACTTGGATCAGGAGAAGAGCCTCATCCTGCTCTCATCCTGGGGTAAGTGTGCTAGACCCACCATTCTATATAATGTCAATAAAAAAAAAATTTTAAAAAACACACATGAAATACTTAATACCTTTTGAGGCACAGGCCAAGACCCAGCCCACTCTTGCTTCCTTGCCATTCTATTGGCCAAATCAAATCACATGGCTGATTCATTTCCATTGCAGAAGCAGAAGATTTTTTGCAAAGTTACATAGCAAAGGGCAAAGAGATGTAAGGAGAGTATTGAATCCAAAAAGGCAACTGTATGCATTAGATACACAAAAGAGGGGATCATATTGCAAATGTCAAGCTTAATTGATTCTCATAAAAGGAGAATGTTCTCATAACCTGCACCTAGGTCAAGAGACAATTTCTCAGCATTTTAGGGGCTCCCCTCCCCCTCCTTACAACCCTCTCACAGATTAACCACTACGTTAACTTCAAATACCATAAATTAGCTTTGCCTGCTTCTGAACTTCATTTAAATGGGATCAGACAGTATTTGCTTTTGTCTGTGTTTTAATGGTACTTGGAATTTATTTTACTCGGTGATTGTAAGACACACAGACACAGAATTAATGGTCATGAGGGGGAAAGTTGATATTCTTAGATCCTTAGAAACAAGAGACACAGCATGCCACACAAGAACACCCAAGAAATAGCAGGGCCCACCAGGACACATCAAGGCTAAACAGGAGAGGTGGACTACTTTATGTCCTGTGTTTCAGGGACTGGCTGGTTGTCTGTCTTTTGACCCCGGGATAACTAAAATTGGCATAGAGTAGCCAGAATTTAAAAGCCCAATAAAAGATGGTTCCTTGCTTAGAAAGGTATACTACAGCCATTTAAAATTTCGGAGGATAATCTTGCCCTGGGAAGGGTAATTCCTGCCTTGTCAGCAGGGCACAGTTGGGGGCGGGGGAGAGGGTGCGTGCGTGCGTGCGTGCGTGCGTGCGTGTGTGCGTGTGTGTGTGTGTGTGTGTTGCAAATAGTTCTGATTTGTTTATGCTCAGTGTGCATCATTTAATTCAGAGAGTATATTCATCCCAACTGAAAGAAGAGCTATGGAAGGAGGGAAAAGGTTACTTAATCTCACAGTCTGAGTATAGCCTGTTACGGCAGGGTACGCACTGCAGCAGGGTCAGGAGGTGGATGCTCATGCACGGCAGTTAAGGGACACAAATGAATGCTGGTGCTTACCTTTCTTTTTCTTCTCTTGCCTTTTTACACAGTCCAGGACCCAAGCCCAAAGGATGGTGCTGGCTACATCCACGGTGGGTCTTCCCTCCATGATTAAACCTCTCTGAAACACCCTCTTAGGTTTGCCCAGGGGTATGTCACCTAGATGATGCCAAATCCATGAAAATTAATGGAAAGCTTGCCCTTTCTCAACTTGCCATAAGCATCGCCCAATCACGACATTCCATAACTGCCCTCAAAGGCTCATGGCAATATCAGAGCGTAGATGTATTCGTGTTTTTAAAACAACTGAAAATCACACTCTCACCATCCAAAAAAATGACCAAAAGATGGAACACAGTGCCCAAATAAAAGTTAAATTTGGGGGGGGGGGGACATGATAATGTACACCTTTAATCAGTGTAAGGAGACAGAGACAGGCAGATATCTGTATGTTCAAAGCCAGCCTGGTCTGCACGGTGAGTTCCAGGGGAGCCAGAGCTCAGCCCTTAGTAGAACATCTGTATTAACTCTCACAGACTAAGAGACTATCCTAGAAGGTAGGGAGGAAAGAATGTGAGCGATAAATGGCAGGAGGAGGGCTGTGAAGTCCTGTGTTCTGGACATGACATGGGCATTGCAATCAAAAACTCACTGTAGTTTCCTGCCCAGGAGCAAACCAACAAGACTAGTCAATATTCCAGGAGGCAGCACTAGCTGGATGCAGCAGGTTTTATACATTTATACATATATATATATATGTGTGTGTATATATATATATATATGTATATATATATTATATATATATAATAGGAGAGGGATATGTTGGGTGTCTGTGGAGGTAGCTGAGGAGTAATCAGGATCAAGATACGTTGTATAAGTAGGGAGCAGTGACACACGCCTGTAATCCCAGCACTCTGGGAGGCAGAGGCAGGCAGATCTCTATGAGTTCGAGGCCAGCCTGGTCTACAAAGTGAGTCCAGGACAGCCAAGGCTACACAGAGAAACCCTGTCTTGGGAGGGAAAAAAGATACATTGTGTGTGTGTAGATATGTATTTGTCAAAGAATCAAAGATTTGTGTGTGTGTGTATGTGTTTATTTGAGACAGGGTTTCTCTGTGTAGCCTTGACTGTCCCAGACTCGCTTTGTAGACTACACTGGCCTTAAACTCACAGCGAGGCACCTGCCTCTGCTTCACTGAGTTCTGGGATATAAAGTGTGACACCACCCTCAGCTTCAGAGATGTTTTTTTAAAGGAAAGCAAAATGAACTTAAGGATACGGCTTTTTTTTAATTCTTTTATTTTTATGTTCATTGGTGCGTAGCCAGCATGTATGCCTATGTGAGGAAGTCAGATCCACTGGAACTAGAGTCACAGACAGTTTCAAGCTGTCACATGGGTGCTGGGAATTGAACTCCACTTGAAAGCAGCCAATGTTCTTAACTACTGACCACTCTCTCCAACCCAAAGATAGATTTTTATCCACCACCCCCCCAAAAAAAAAGTGGAAAACAAATAAGCATCAATGACCTGTGGCAAACCTTTATCTTCAACAAAATTTACATCATGATTTGTAAC